ATTGTCTGCTCCTAGAGGACAGCACCACACCTTTTCTCTCTGAAGCCTCAGTGCCCAGCGCACTTCCTGCCCATTTAGTGGGCCCTCAGTCACTGTTTGTTGACAGACAGGGAAGTAAGACATGGCCTCTCCTCTCGAAGGTGTTTTCAGAACGTTTGTGTGGGAGAAAGAGTGCACTCTGTCTGGGAGACAGTTAAAAAAATGATCCCAGCCCTGGCCGGTTTGGCTCAGCGGTTGGAGCGTCGGCCTGTGGTCCAGAGAGACCTGGGTTCGGTTCCCGCTAAGGGCACGTACCTCGGTTGCAGTTTGTCCCCGGCCCTGGTTGGTCCTGCGGGTGGCAACCACTCGATGTGTCCCTTCACGTCGATGTTTCTCTCTCTCTCTCTTCCTCTCTCTCCCTCCCGCTCAGCCTGAACAAAAAATGCAAAAATGTCCTCGGGTGAGGATAAAAAAAAAAAGCCCTGGCCAGTTTGGCTCAGCGGTTAGAGCGTCGGCCTGCGGTCTGGAGAGACCTGGGTTCAGTTCCCGCTAAGGGCATGTACTTCGGTTGCAGTTTGTCCCCGGCCCTGGTTGGTCCTGCGGGTGGCAACCACTCGATGTGTCCCTTCACGTTGATGTTTCTCTCTCTCTCTCTCCTTCCTCTCTCTCCCTCCCACTCTACCTGAACAAAAAATGCAAAAATGTCCTCGGGTGAGGATAAAAAAAAATAAAAAAATTAAAAAAATGATCCCAGTGCACTGTAAAATGAAGCAGAAAATGCATGCTGTGAAGAGAAGCAGGAATGGAGCCCTTTCACGAGAATGAGGCTTCGGGTTCCAGGAAGAGGCTTTTGCAGGTGCTTAGGGGGTTAGGACAGCTTCTTGAAAGTGATCATATTGAGCTGAACTTTGAAAGGTGGTTGAGATGACAACAGGCGGAAAAGGCCTGAGAAGAGCAGCCCAGGCTCAGGCAGTGACATAACCGGTGGTTCTCAAGCTTTGGGGCCTGTCCGGATCACCTGGAGGGTCGGCGAGAACACAGGTGCTGGGCCCCGCCCCAGAGCCTCTGCCTGATTCAGTGGGTCTGGGGTAGGGTCTGAGGATCTACATTTCTAACAAGTCCCAGGTAGTGCTGATGCTGCTGGTCAGGGAACCACACTTCGAGAGCCACTGGCTTAAGCCAAAGCTAGCTGGTCCAGGCAGTGGCATCTCACCCGAGCCACCGTGTCAGATAAGAGAAGTGCAGGATGGGAGCGGGGTGGACGGGTGGAGTGGGCCGTGGCCAGGAGGCCTTTGGCTGCTGTCTGAAAAGTTTAGACCTAATTCTGTGGACTTAATATAGGCAACATGGATGGACTGGTCTCCTGATGGCCCACTCCAGGGTCTGGGTACGCTTAGCTGAAGCTTCAGGCTACACAGATATGCTGGTGATAAACACATACTGAGTTTGGCCTCGTAGAGACAAGCCCCACGCACAGCACACCTGCAGAGGAAACCTTGATTTACCCTGGTGGACAAACAAGGATTGAAGAAAAGCATTATTTGAATGCAGATGAGGACCACTGCAGCCATATGATGCTGCATGCTGTGGGGAGAGCAGGGGGAAGGAGACTCACTAATTGAACATTCAGGCAAAAGCAGTAGCTTTACTCTCAATAGGGAGATAATTGCTCTGAACTCCTCTCTCATGGCCACCACCCTCCCAGATTCCCAAGGACAAGGATGTCACACCACACACCCAGTGCATCTCTATCACCAGGGAGACACCTAGATCCAGGAGACACCTAGATCCCTAATAGTCTGTTTGACGAAGGAAGGCAGTCAGTCGCCTGGGTGGGCTTTGGGAGGGAGGCACACTCTGAATGCCACAGGTGAAGATCTCCACTCCCCAGGGCCATCCTGGTCAGGACACTGGACCAGCAGGACTGGCCCTTTTTCACATAACGCAGGTACAAAACACGGATGCCATCTGTCAGCCTGTGGACTGGCTTCCAGGGACATCTCCAATAAGCTACACTTACTGAGTACCAACTCTCTGCAAAGTAATCTGCTGGGTGTGGTAGAGACACAGATGAATCAGCCTCGGAACTGCCCTCCAGAAACCTGCAAGTCCACGTGGGGGAGGGTGGACAGAGGCCATTCTTGGTCATCAAAAACCCTCCTACCTGATCCTTTGTTTCCTCTTCTGCATCCCTGGCTTAGGTCTAGCTGCCTCCCCTCCCTCACTCAGCAATGTCAGCAACTAGAGGCTCTCACTCACTCAGCAGGATATTGGGGTCACAGAGATGAGTAAATCAAGATGCATGTGGTCTGGTAAGGAGCCCCTCCAGTCCCATAGCTAGAAATAGGTCAGTCCTGAGCAGGTACCCTCAACCCACTACCTCTGCTGCTAGGACCATGACCATCAACTCTGGGCTGAGGAAACCCAATTCAGTGCACTTGCTGGCTGAGCTCCACATGGGCAGAGGGAGCCTGGGGGCCCCCACCTTCATCAGCCTGTCCCAGACCAGCCAAACCACAGGCCTTTGGGGGACCACGACTGCTGCATGCAGGATGGTCAACAGGAAGATGAGAGGGGGCTCAGGAGACTGCTGGTGTCCCACTGACTGCCTGAGGACCTCCTTCTCGGAGTTCTGCCTGCCTTTTCCCTTAGGGACATGGGAACTGGCTTGCTTCCTCCACACCTCCTTCACTCCACCCCCCAACCCCAGTCCTGTTGGCAAGAGACTCACCTAGAAGACAGCAGGGAAGAAGAAATCAGAACCAGGTTTAGATCTTGCCCTGCCACTCCTCATCTGTGGATTTAGGGCAGGGCACCTAACCTTTCTGAGTCTGTTTCCTCATCTGTAGAATGGAGATAAGGACCTTGCTTACTTCACAGTATTGTTCAGAGGCACAGAGGGTACTAGGCAAAATTCCTGTCTCCAAACTGCCCTGGAGCCGAACAGGAGAATTGGACTAGCACACACACAGTGTGATGTGTACCAGATCAGAGGCGTGTTTGGGGTGCAGTGGTGAGAAGAGTGGAGGCAAACTGATTCTCTCTAACAAGGGGAACTGCAGGACTTCCTGCCCAGGCCGTGTTTCATGTAGTCCCCACAACAAACCTGTGAGGTAGGTGTTACCATCCCCATTTTGCAGATGCGCACACTAAAGCTCAGAAAGGATCATGCATTGACCTGGCACAGTATTTCTTGAGCACATACTATGTGCTAAGGGTTGCAGATATAACAGTAACAAAACAGACCCAGTCCCTCCCTCATGGAGCTTACATTCCATGAAGCACTTGCCCAAGATGAGTCTGGAACGTGCCAGCGCTGAGATTCAAACCCAAGTCTGGTGGCCTCCTAGGCTTGTGCTTTCCCCACCCAGAACTCACTGCCCTTCGGGACATGTTCCCATGGTGGGCATGGACTGTCTCAGAATTCAGGAGCAAGGGTGGGCCAGGGATAGGAGAGGAGCTGCAACTTCTGTAGAGCTCTGTGTTTCCCTGCAGCCCTGCCCCAAAGAAAGGCTGAATGCCCAACCTCTCAGATAATTTCCCCAAGAAGGGATGGAGGGAGGAGCTTCCCCAAGGGGATTTCAAGGGGGGTGGGGGGTGGGGCTGCCTGTGCTCAGTCGGAGAGTAACACCCTCTTCCTGGCTGAGGTGGGGAATCCCTTTGAATTTCACTGGTTTTATGGGAGGGGCCTACTGTTTCTCTACTGCTCAAGCCCTCTAGGGAAGAAAACAGGACCAGGATAAATCAAAGGATTAAATCAGCCTTTGGCATCTGAATGACCTCTGGGTTCTGTGGGTTCTTGGCTTAGCTCTGCACTGCCCTTAGCCTCAGGCTGCCTCTTGATCTTAGGAGACCTGTGGCACTCCCACTGTGCAATGACATTTTCTTTTAACACGAGGAAACAATCAGAAATTTGCTAGCCTCCTCCACTAAGAAAAAAAGATACAGGATTGCTTGTGATAGCATTTACTCATAGTAGCTGTCACCTGGAAACAATCTAAATAGCCAATGTTTGAGTATTAAATAAAATACTTTAAAAGTATGCATTCAATGGAATACCAAGCAGCCATTGAAAATCCTCATGTAGGAGAAAATTAAATAACATGAGAACAGTGTCCATAACAGTTTAGTCAAAATTCCTGACTAAAACTATACACAAATCAGAATGTACAACAGGATCTCGTTTTTTAAAAATATGTCTCTATGTGTACATAGACAGTGTCTGGGAGGCTGCATGCCAAATGTGGACAGTGGTTATCTCTGGGCAGTAGAACCGTAAGTGACTTGTTTTCAGGGTTTTCCATTTCTTGCAGTGAAAATGTGTGTCTTTTGTTATCATGGAGAAAAAACCCCACAATGTATTTTAGAGATAGAAAAGAGAGAGAATGTCATCTTTTGCCTCTGAACTTAGATGGCCCCAGTCCCCACCCAGCCTTGGGAGATTCGGAAGCCTGAGTACTTGGGTATCATCATCTAGGTCATTTAATGTCATTTCTCAGAGAGGCCACCAGACCACATGGCCTGGCTGAAGGAGGCCCCTCCCACATTTTTTTCTCCCTCTTTCGCCCATTTTATTGTCTTCATTGCCCTTCTCTGCATCTGAAATGACCTGCCTGCTCATCTGCTTCCTTCCATGTATCTGTCTCCTCCACAGAAGGCAAGCTCAAGAGAGCAGGGCCCTGCCTGTCTTACTCCTTCTGACTTTCTGTCTGGAGAAGGGGCCTGAGTGAGATCTGGGTTTGTAAGGAATGGAGCAGCCCCAAGCTGTGGGCACTGATCCTGCGGTTACACATGACAGTGAGACATGGGGATCACTTCCTGGGCGTCTGTACAGAGGCAGGGAGCCGGCTTGGGGCCAGAACTGCGTGAAGCTCTGCGTGAAGCACCTGGTCTAGCTGGGTAACAACGGCTGCCACCAACAGGTGTTGTGGAAGCACCAACTTTGTGCCTTATGTTTTATAACTGAGTAGAGGGAAGGTAGAAGCAATTGATCTTATCATCCCTCTCCCCTTTGCTTCCAGGGCTTCTGCCGTGGCCCCTCGTTCTCCAGCTCACGACTCCAGCTCCCCTTTGGAACCCGTTCCAACCAGGCTCTCATCCCGACCGTTCATTCCACGGAGCCTGCTCTTGACCAGGATTACCTGTGACTCCAAGATGCTAAATCCAATCATTAATACTGTCTTTGTCTGACTTGACCTATCACAGTAGATTGCCCCATCCTCCTTGAAGCCTTTTCTCCTGTTGTACTTGTTACTCCTTAGTCTCCCTGGCTGAGCGACTGAATGGGCCAGTCCTTGGATAGCTTCTCTGTTGACAGACCCCCTTGGTGATCTCATCCTGAAGAGCTACCTGCTGAGCACTCAAATATCTTCATTTCCAGCCTGGACCTCTCCGCTGAACTCAATACTCAGATATCTGCCTGCCTACAGGCCTCTCCACTTGAATATTGACAAGGCCTTTCATACTGAACATGTCTGAAACGGCGTTCCTTGTCTTCCCCCAAACATGCTCCCCCAGCGGGCTTCTGCAGCTCAGTAAAGGCAAGTCCATCCTCCGGTTTGCTCAGGCCAACATCTCAGAGTCCTCCTCGATTCTGTTATTTCATACCCGACTTCCAATCCTTCAGCGAATCCTGTTGGCTCTACTTTTGAGAATCTGACCATAGCTTAGTACCGCATTGTTACCTCTCAAATCAAAGCCACTGTCACCTCTTGCCAGGATTTCTGCCTATGTTCTACCTATGCCCCCAATTTATTGTCAACACAGCATCCAGATCACTTGTTGAAAAGTGAGTCACATCATGTCACTTCTCTGTGTAAAACTTCCCAGTGGCTCCCATCTGAGTCAAAGCTCAAGTTCATACAGGGCCCTCTTTCAATTCTGCACACACTCTGGAACCTCTCACTAGCTCTCTGATTCTCTGTCTGTCTTCCCCTTCACCCGCTCAACTCGGGCCACACCACCCTCCCCACGGATCTTTACCTGTCAGGCAGGCTCTCACCTCCGAGCCTTTGCACATGCTGTTTCCTCCACCTGGAAGGGCTCTTTCCCATTCATTCTCAGGGCGTGTCCTCCTTTCTTTCAGTCTTTATTCATAGCTCACTTCTCAGCTGCCTGGGCTTCCCTGGCCACACTGTTTAGATTGTTGGCACTTCCTGCTCCAACACTCCCTCCCCCTCTCCTGCTTTAATTTTCCTCCAGAGCACTTACCTCTTCTGACTACCATATATTATTTATTTATTTGGTTGTTGGTTTCTCCCAGTAGACTGCAAGCTCCACGAGGGCAGGGGGTTTTATAGAAGGTGCACAATAGATATCTTGACCATTCATACATGGCTATATGAATAAAAGTGTGTGGAAGGACCACTTACAGTTTATACAAGGCCTGGACAAGATGGAAAAAGCAGGGGGGTTCCTGCCAGCATGGGACATTAGTAGGCTACTGAGAAAGAAATGCCCCAAGTAGAGAATATGCTGCGTGGGAATCATGGGGCCTGTCTCTGCCCTGGACCAGCATGCAGCCAACTCATACCTTAGTGGCTTCGGAAGAACTCGCCACAGACGAGCACGCACCACTCGTCTGATAGCTTTGGACTCCGCCTGGACGGTGGCAATCTAGAGCAGTCTTTTTACCAGTATGGGACTCAGGCCAGTGATGTGCTCTCCCTAAGCCTCAGCTTCCTACCTGGAAAAGGGCATGACAGCCCGGCCCGTGTGGCTCAGTGGTTGAAAGTCAACCCATGCACCAAGAGGTTGCTGGTTCGATTCCTGTTCAGGGCACATGCCCAGGTTGTGGGCTAAATCCCCAGTGTGGAGCATGCAGGAGGCGGCCAATCGATGTTCTCTCTCATCGATGTTTCTATCTCTCCCACTCTCCCTTCCTCTCTCTCTAAAATCAATAAAGAAGAAAAAACTTAAAAAAAAAGGGGGGGGGGCATGACACCTGCCTCCTTGTGTTGTGAGGATTGGGTGGGATTAACACGGCGAAGGTCCTTAGCACAGAGAGACTCATGGTGAGTGCTTAGCAGATGGATCCTCAGATGTGGACTATTAGTATATTTACCTGTGTATAAACCTGGAAACTTATAAACAAATGGTGGTTTTATTTGGCTGTTGGAATTGTGGGTGGTTTTCAATATATTTTTTTTACAAGGAATAATTACTTACATAATGATGATGTAATAAAATTTTTAAAAAGAGGAAGTAATGATTGAAAAGGTTAAAAAATAAAAATAAAAAATGGCAGTGCATTTGGCAGGCAGGCGAGCTGAGCAGCCCAGGGCAGAGCTCGGGAGGACAGAGGTAGAGGCAGGAGGAGGGGAATAGGAAAGGCGGTGAAGGAAAAGAATGAAAAAGATGGTTGGGCCTGAGGGCTGGTGCCCAAGTATGCATCCCAGAGGTAAGGCTCAAGCCCCTGCAGGCAAGATACCCACTTTTGCCCCTCCAGGGGGAGCCCCTGGTGGGAAATACGTGACTCAAGGCCCACCTGTCCTGTCAGAGGACGCTGAGTGTGTGCGCTCACCTTCCGCTGCTTAGACCACCTGTCTCCAGCACACCTGGGGGGCCCTGCGGCTCCACTCTGGGCTGGGCTCCTCACCCACCTTTAGAAACCCAGCTTCTTATCTATGTCCAGAGTAGGAAAGGCAGGAAATCCTAGTTGTTTGGTTTTGGAGGGCAAAATTATGCTCAGAAACTGAGATTATCTTTGCTAATAATTTAACACAGGTTCACTGAGGGAACTGTAAGAGCCAGTAACATACAGGATAATGTCTAAATAAGCCAATAAAAATAACACACTCCAAAGCATTGGTGGATTAATTACACTCTTGTTCCAGGCAAGGGGAGATAAAAGGGAAAAAGTCCAAGTTTAATTGAAGTGTACCTTTATGCTTAGCTGACTGAGAGCTGACATCCAGCTGCCAGAGCAAAAAGTAAAAGTCCCTTGTCACTAGAGCATGTTGCTGGGGACAACGGCGCCAGTTTGAAGGGCAAGGTGATCTCCTTCTTGGGCTGCTGCGTGGCTTTCACCACTGCCAGCAGGAGTCACCTTTACAGAGGCTTTTAAGTCAGCAAAGAGTCAGCCGGCCCAGAAATTCAGATATTCCTCACAAATTCTCAGTATTTACAGTCAGAATGTCCACCTGCCACAGGGACTCCTCTACGTGTTCTATGGCTTAGCCCATGGGCAGGGCTTCTCAGCAGCTGACCTACTGAGTGTTTATCAACGACAACAAATGATGACATCCTGACCCAACTTCCTTTGTTCTTTTTTTTTAATCTTCACCCGAGGACACCCGTCCATTTTTTGTTCAGATAGAATGGGAGGGAGAGAGAGAGAAACATCGAGGTGAAAGGGACACATTGAATGGCTGCCACCCGCACAACCCAACCAGGGCCGGGGACAAACTGCAACCGAGGTACATGCCCTTAGTGGGAACCGAACCTGGGTCTCTCTGGACCACAGGCCGACGCTCTAACTGCTGAGCCAAACTTGCCAGGGCTCCTTCATCCTTACATAAAAATCACTTTACTGCTGAAAGCAATTTTTTTGTCTTTGTCATAAACAGGTGAATTAAAGCAACTTCAGCTGAGTCATAAACAAGTGGATTTGAAACTGTATCAAACCAGTACACAGCACTAGTGAGTTCCCAGAAGTCATCCTGAAAGGCTGACTGGCTCCTCTCTCCTTCGGCAGCCTGGTAGGACCCATGCTCAAGAGCAGGGTCTCCCGGGCAAATACAGCTGAGAAAGAGGGCCAGGGCCACCCAGGGGCTGCTTTCAGGGTCCCATCCCCACTGCCATCCCACCAACTGCCTTACTGGCCAGTGACATCAGGAGAAACTTTTCCACATTAACGATGTTTTTGCCTGACTGTGACAATATATTGAGCATTCTTGGGGAATGGCTCATCCACATAAGTGAATTTTCCAAATAAATGTATTTAATTCCATCACATCCCAATTTTTTATTGTATTTATTTCAACTAATTTCTATTTTATCAAATGTATTAAAATAATGCATGCATATGGTTTAAATATCAATAGCGCAGAGGCTCATGATCAAAATGCCCTCCCCACCTTTTTCAGTTCCACACTCTCTAGAGGTAACCTCTTTCAACCCTCTTATTAGTTTTTATTTCTGTTTATATTGTTATTTCTTGATTTACCAGTTTTAGACATCAATCGACTTCTTGTGGTAGATGAGGATTGCACTTTTCCATAAAACCCTTCCAATCTCCACTTCCCATCTTCCCGACAAGAATATAACATAAGTTTTGATTAAATCAATAGTGAATGTAGACATATTCTTAACTGCTGAGCTAAGTAGTGTGTTATGTGTCCTTGTGTTCTGGAAAAATTTTGTTAGTTCTTTGATAAATTCCTCCCCTCTGTTTTATCTGTTGGGCCTATTGGATTAACCTTCTAATTTTTCAAAAGCATTTTTTCTCTTATTTACCCTCCCTTTGCCTTTTGGGTTTACTTCCCTGATTTTATTCTCCAACCCTTCTGTTTTGTTTCATTTTTTAAAAATTTTGGCTTTACTATTTTTAATATACAATACTCTTTCTTGTTATCTGACTTCCTTTTTCATATTATTACATTCTTATTATATGAATATACTATCTCCCTCTTATCCCTCTGAAGGTATTATTTATTTTTTTCTTTGTCCATTTGTTTTGTTTTAATAGTCTTCCATTCTCTACATTGTCTTTTTTCCCTCTTGGCTTCTTTTTGTTAGTCTTGTTCTCAATCTCTCTCTCTCTCTCTCTCTCTCTCTCTCTCTCTCTCTCTCTCTCATTGGAAGATTTCCTCAAATATCATAGAGTCCTGGCTATCTGTTGATATTTATGAATGAAGCAATAAAATGCTGAATTAAACTGTGTGTTTGGAATGAACTTATCAACTGGGACTTCACTGTAGGAAGCAAGCCAGTCTTTTTGTTAACAAGCCTCTTAGTGTCAGACTCTTTTCTTTAGGGCTAGGTTTCAACCTTGGCACTGTTGATATTTGGGGCCCTATCATCCCTTTGTGTCGGGGGCTCTGGTGCATTATAGACTGTTTAGCAGCATCACTGAACTCTGCCCACCAGATGCCAGTAGCAATACCCTACCCAGAGCTGCAATAACCAAGATTGTCTATAAACTTTGCCATGACCCTGGGGGACCAAATCTGCCCATTGAGAACTACTGTTCTAGAGCCATTCAGCCTCTCAAGAAAAGCATTCTAACTCCTTGTTCCACTTATCTATTACTGCATGACCAACCACCCCAGAACCTACTAGTATAAACAACCATTTTATTATGCTACAAGTCAGGATACGGAAAAAGCACAGCTCTCCTCTGCTCCACAATGTCTGGGGCCCAGACTGGGATGACTGAGGATGGCTTGAATGGCTGGGAGTTAGAACAGCTGGGGCTGAAGGACCCACCTCCAAGATGGTTCTTCACTTGGAAAAAGAGCTGGAAGAGTGGCCTCGCCTGGGTCTGGTGATCAGAAAGGTGACACATGGCCTCTCTAGCACCAGGGCCTGGGAGCTCAGGGCTCCGGTGTGAATGTCCCAGCCAGCAATATGGAAGCTGCGTGGCCTGTTACGGCCTGGCCTTGGACATCACATAGCATCACTTCCACTGTAGTCCAAGCCTGCCCACATTCAGTGAAGGAGAGAGACCCACCTTCCAGTGGAAAAAAAAATTTTTTTTTTTAATTTGCAGTTCATGTTTTGAACTCACCATACTCCAGTATAGGGTGATCTATGCCTAAGGCAGGGAAGGGTGTGAAAAGGGGGGATATTGAATCCCACTTTTTAGTGTTTAGGCTTTGCCCTCATCCTGTTTCCATCTGCCTGTCTCTGCCTGAGCCTCTCTGCTCACTGTCTTCAGTCTCCTGTTGTGTGGGGCACAGTATGGGGTGGGACCTGGGAGGATTCCAACCAATTTTCCTGGTTTCTCCCCCCCACGCCCTCCTATTCCTGACCCCACCATCATAATACCTGGTCAGCCCAAGTTCTGAGCTCTGCCAGGGTCCTGGGGGTGAAGCCGCTTGCCTCCTGTCAGTAATCCCGTCTCCAGCTCTAAGAGACTAGCTTCCTCCATGTCAGCCGTCATTCCTCATCTCTTTCCCAGCTTCCCCAAGTTTCTAGAAATCTCTAACCCACTGATTTATCCTTTACTACGCGGTTTGCTCTGGAGGGTTTATACAATTTTATTTCTTGACTGGAGATCGGGACATGTAAATAACCTGCCACGTTTAACCAGAAGCCCTGTGGACATCTTTTGGATGGAGATCTCTCTAAATCGTGCTCTTGTCTCCTGCTCTGTTAAAGCCCTGTGAATTAGTATAGTGACCACATTTAACCTTTTTAAAAAATAATTCAGAGTCTGCCCTGGCCGGTTTGGCTCAGCAGTTAGAGTGTTGGCCTGCAGTCCAGAGAGACCTGGGTTCGGTTCCCGCTAAGGGCACATACCTTGGTTGCAGTTTGTCCCTGGCCCTGGTTGGTTTGTACAGGTAGCAGCCACTTGATGTGTCCCTTTCACGTCGACGTTCTCTTTCTCTCTCTCTCTCTCTCTCTCTCTCTCTCTCTCTCTCTCTCTCCTACTCTATTTGAACATAAAATGGAAAAATGTCCTTGGGTAAGGATAAAAAGATAATAATAATAATAATTCAGAGTGATCTTTATGAGGACTCATGCTTACCTTGAAATTATTAAGTTAAGTAGAGCTGTCTGTCCCTCCATGATGGGGACCCAGGTCACTGTGATAAAATTCCTTAAACCTTTTTTCATGGTCATCTCTGTCTC